TGCACTTCATTATACTAAAATTGAATGGGCTAAAAAACTTTTTCTAGAGAGCGTAAATAGAAAGTGAATTATTTTAATGAAATTTTGCAGAATTTTCTTAAATTTTGCACAAGGTTTGGAACTCTGATTTTTGGGGATTTTGTTGTAGAATTGACCATATTTTTATAAAAAATTACCGAAAACTAAAATATTTAAAAAATTGTTGCCCGTATTGTAAAAAATTCGTTGTACCTAAACTTTATTGACTGACTGTATTAAGGTAGCTGTGGTGGATTGCATAAAAAAACTTAATTTGTCTTTTCTTAAAAAAAAGGTAGCTCTGGTGGCTTGCATTTTTAAATAAATTTAGTGAGAAAGTGGTAATTATTTTGACACTTTTTTTTTAAATGCCTCTTTTTCTGCAACTGCATTGCCTTTCTCAATTGTCCTTCAGGATCTTGGCCTTTGTTTATGGAATCACTAAGTATAATAATTATTAAGCAACTCAAAAACTATACCAGCGTGATTACCGACGTATCCTTTTGAGAGGTAGCCGCACCCTTATAAGAGGAATTAGACAAAAACTTTTAAGGTCAAAATTTCAGTAGGTTGCGTATGTATGGCCTTTTCAATTTTATAAATTATCATTATTTTTAAGTGGAAAAATAAAACTCAAAATTAATGATAATCTCTGCACGAAAAAATAAAAATCATAAAATAATCATTATTTGTAATCCCAAAAATAAAAATCAAATAATAATTATTTCCGTTTGAGCGAAAAAATAAAACTCAATAATAATTCATAAAATAATGATTAAATGGTAATTTAAATTATTTTTCTCATAATGATTGCCTTCCCTGCGTTTAAAATTTGAAATAAAATGGTTTAGTGAAAGTACCACATTTCGTTGCTTTTGGACTGGTGCGTGACTAGTTACTATCGGACTGGTTCGTTTTTGGCGAAAAGGAACTAGTACTGAACTAGAAATTTGGTTCACTAGTTCGTGTTTTCCCTACAGGGTACTGCTAGAGATCTAACTGAAAATATAGAATCCATTTTTTCCGGTTTATCATCGATCTTTATTCCTAGGTATTTTAATGTATTAACTTTTCCAGTGCTTTGTTGTTCATATTTAGAATTAGCACCGCCTGTTCTCAAAATTTCGCCTTGATATATTCGCAAATTTAGTTTTATTGACATTCAATTTAAGTCTGTTCAATTATAACCAATCGCACTTTTTTGGAACTTTTTGTGGAAGGTTCTTTATTAAAAAAACAAAGAACTTTTTGTTGTTGCTGCCAAAAAAATTAAGAAATTCGAGACGTTACGGTTTTACAATTTCATATAGTTTTCTATACATTTTATTTTACTAAACTACCAAATGGTTGCACGGATTTAGTTCATATTCGGAACATATGCCAACACCTTGAAAATAAGTATTCCGCCAAAAAATTTTCTCGGTATGCACATTAGGTCAAAGGATTACTTTTTCTGTGCGAAATTAATTGCATTATTTTAATGTAAAAAGATGGCAAACGTTAAAAAAGTGGAAGGCAGTAAATAAAATGTGAAAACATGACATGGCTTTCGTAAAGCAGACTTTTCTGCTTTTTTGTATGTTCAAATGATGAGTATATGTGTTTAGGTAGTACTCAAAAACGTTGTCCAATTAGCTTGGCTTTGACACAAGTTATTTCCTTACCATACTCAACCCCCTACCCCCTAAAATAAGCAACATAATAAAATAAGTATGGTGACATGGTTTCTTCGAGCGATTAATTATGGCATTATCGAAATTCCTAAATTAAAAAAGAAAAATATTTAATACATGTCTCGCAGATATGTCTTGAGGAGAGATTCCTTCAGCAGCTAGTCTTCATAAAACACTTCATTTTCACTTGAGGTTTCAGTTTTCTCTAATTCTCCACCAATATTATTTATACTCAGAATACAAATGGTGCTTTGTGACACATTTACCAAAAATCGCTGGTAACTTCCTGAAAAGAATACGAATGTTTTTGAAACTAATTTGTGAAAAGACTGTTTAAAGCTCTATTCACTTTGAGCAAAAAATTTCGAAATTTAAATCTGCAACTTCGCTCAAGGATTTGCCTTTTTGCAAAGGCTGATCAACAATGGTCTTTGCGAATCGGCGCAAGTGGCTTTGTAACACAGCCATGGCTACGCTACAGGAGATGAGGCTACTATGTTTTTTTTTGCTATCACATACTTCCACTTTTATTTATCACCAAAAAATTTAGGAGGTATATTTGGAGATAGCTAAAAATTCGGAAAAATTTTAGCTTACCTATTTTAGCGATAGCGAAAGTTAGAATCCGGCTGATGGTCGACACAGTTGTTTTTTTGATTGCGAAAAGAACTTCATCAGCAAGAAATGCTTTGTTTTCAAATCTAAATATTTTAGCATCCTTTCCAAACTGTTTTCCATAATATTCATCTTTCTTTGATAAATGATTGCAAAAAAGACGCGTTTTTTCTTCTAAGAGTTTCTTGGAACTTTCGCAAATATCAGCAGCACCAAATTTTTTTTTCAACGTGGTTGACAGCCGAAAAAGGCTTTTCCCTTTTTCGAACATCGAATCAGCCAAACTTCAAACAGCTCGCATTTGTGATAGCCCATGATAGCCCAGAAAAACCCGTTTTTCTGGAAAACGGCTAAAAGCGTCGGGTTAAGTAATATAAAATCAACTCATTACATCTTAATTTATCCATTTCCGTTTTCAATTTGTTTGCCGAAAGTTAACAAAATTGTAACCTCAGATACGCGGTTTTGCATTTCTTTTTGGTTGTTTGTGTTTCCGACAGGATAGGAGCATGATGTATTGTGGAACGATTTTCCGTCATCCCTTGTCAAATTTGGTTTGGAGACATTTTGCATTTTGTTGATACGCGGTTTTGTTCTTTAAACGACGATTTACGTAAACGCGCAAGTATCATTCGATTGGGAATAATTTTCTCCTAGTTTTCTAAATCCCATTGAACTATTGTAACTTTGTTTTTAATATTTGGTAGAAGGACAAATTTATGTGAAAATTTTTAAGAGTTTTGCACAAAGTTTTGGAGCTTTGATTTTTATGGGTTTCGCTAAAGACTGTCATATCTACATACCTACATATATACATAAAATGATAGCCATTTCCGTTGTTCGGACTAAACTCAAAAACCCCTAAATAGAGTTCCGTCAAATTGTCGAAGGTTATACCTTTCATAAGATCTGCTTCATTTGAAATCTGGCAGCACTCTACATAGCACCACTTTGTTATCGTTATTTAGTGTGCTGATTTTTCTATAGTTGTTTTTATTACAGTTAATTTTCATTTGCGTAACTTTAAAAATAAAAGAACTTCAGCAAAGAAAATTGATTCTGGCCAAATTTATGCAAAATCCACACGTCTCCCAATATCAGTTAGTAAAATTGCTGAAAATTGANGTTGTTTTTATTACAGTTAATTTTCATTTGCGTAACTTTAAAAATAAGTGATGTAGAGAGCAAAGAACTTCAGCAAAGAAAATTGATTCTGGCCAAATTTATGCAAAATCCACACGTCTCCCAATATCGGTTGGTAAAATTGCTGAAAATTGAAAGGTCGAGGGTACAAAATGTATTGTCAAATATCAAGAAAAATGGCAGCATCGAGAGAAAGGCGGAGTCTGGCGGAAAATCAGGTACTATAAATAAAATAGTGGAGAAGGATGTTCTAAGGACTCTGAACGTATTGTTGCACNCAAAATGTATTGTCAAATATCAAGAAAAATGGCAGCATCGAGAGAAAGGCGGAGTCTGGCGGAAAATCAGGTACTATAAATAAAATAGTGGAGAAGGATGTTCTAAGGACTCTGAACGTGTTGTTGCACCTGGAGTGTTGTTCTGAGAGCCTTATTGTTTTGGCCTAATTTGGCAACAAGACATTGTGCAAAAAAAAGCGCAAGAGTTTTATACACAAAATGGAATCAACATTGTACTAAAAAAGGCTTATCCTCCGGATTGCCCAGAGCTGCAAACGAACGAGCGTTATTGGGCCTATATGAAATCAAAATTGAAAAAAAACACACAAAATGGCGAAAACAGGCCCAATCGATCAACGAAAGGGATGTCCAAGTATTAATGGCGGGTGTCATCTCTAAAGTACGGGTATTTTGGCGTGGAAATTAATTCTATTAATATTTGTAAATCTTTCATTTAAATAGAAATAAAAGAAATTAATAATAAATTTAAATTAGTTTTTTTTTCAGGGACCGTAAATAACAGTTACTTTTTTCACCAGCTAAACTTGGCCAGATATTATTAAGTCGAAAATAAAAGTCCTTTCCTAATATTTAATAAGCAAACCGCTTATCCAAATTAAACAAGTTTGGTATCAACTGAAAATGGACTAAAATAGCTTTAAAACTGAAATATTTAAACAAGGAAAGCCAGCAGAAAGCCAGCAATTGCAAAATATTTAAATAAAAAATGTTTTTTTAATTACCATACAACAAACCTTGGGCCAGGTATATGCATATCTTTTGAATTACACTATTAAAAAAAGGGTATCATTCGATCGTTATTTCTGTTTAAAATCTATTTAAGTCCCCTTTCATTTGGTACCAAATTTGTTTAATTTGTATAAGCGGTTTGTTTACTATCCGGAACGACTTATTTCGAACTTTCGAAGTTTAACTGTTTGAAAAAAATAAGTGCAAATTACGGTCCCTGGTTTATTTATACCTTAAGTTAAATAATGTTTTAGTAAGTATTTAATTTTTTTCAAGGCGGAAAATTTTGTTAACAATCACACGATCTATCTAAATATGCACATACAGTTGTTCAAATAACAAGAAAAGTATCTTACATAATGAAATTATCGAATTACTTCGTAAACTTTTTGCTTCGTGGCTGTTTTTTCAGGTGTTAACTATAACGAGCATATTCAGTATAAACAGTATATAAGGGCGCAAAAACTCAAGTAAGGCACAGTTGAAAGTTTCGCACTGAGCATTCCTTACGACAACTACCAAAATGGCCAACAAATTCATTTGCACTTTATTGCTGTTGGTGGCAGCTACAGGCGCCCAAGCTGATGGAATTGTAGGTGGTACAGCTGCCTCTATTAGCGCTCACCCGTACCTGGTAAGCTTGCAGCTAGCCGATGGAACCATTGTCTGCGGTGGTGCTTTAATCAATTCCAAAATCGTTGTCACTGCCGCCTCCTGTTTGACTAACTACGATGTAAGCGCATTTGTCGTTGGTGTCAACAATGGTGCTCAGACCGTTAAAATCGATTCATCTACTTTTGATGGCGCCTACGATATTGAAACCAATGAGAATGACATCGCTATCGTGAAGTTGGCCGAAGCCGTAACTGTTAGCACCTACCTTGGATTGGCAAACAGCTTACCTTCCAGTGGTCTACTCATCGGTTTGGATGCAAACAATTCAGTGGTAGAAGTATCTGAAACTATCACCAGCGCCAAGGTATGCGTTACTCAAGGCTACAAATACGAAGACGGTGATCTCTTCGATTCACAGTTCTGCGGTTTGGCTGCGAACGAAGCTTGTGGTGGATTGCCTGGAAGTCCTCTGGTGGCAGACAATAAGTTGGTTGGTGTTGTATCCTGGGGTTATGGATGTGGCAACAAAGGCAGTCCAGCTATTTACTCTGACGTTCCAGTTTTGAAATTGTGGGTCGAAAGTGTTTTGTAAAAAGTACTTATACAATAAAGTATAATAATTTCAGCATATTATAAATATCGTCTTTAATTGTGGCAAATATTTTATTACGTCAGTGTAAAACAAAGCCTATGGGCTATACCAATTCAACAAATGCGCCGTTTACGTTGATTACAACGACCAAAAGTCAACATTATAAAAAAAAAAACTCACAAAACTAGGAGCGAAGTATTGTACAACTGCGCTTTTAGTTTTTCCCTCTGGCGTCAGGATTTTTTAAGAGAACTTTGAAATTTTAAAGATATGATTGGTTCCAAAACTTACTAAAAGATTCAGTGCACAAGGCCTTTTCTGAAATACTGTTGGAAAAGGTGCCAACAGTATTTCAGAAAAAGCCGAAAGAAATTCAGAAAAACACAATTATATTTCAGAGAAACTGTAATGTATTTCGGAAAAGATATTGTGTATTTCAGTTAAGGCCAAATGAAATTCGGTAAAACGCAATTGTATTTCAGGAAAACTAAAATGTTTCAGAAAACCACAAGCGTTCATTCATTTCAGAAAAACTCAAACATTAAATTGTAACAAATAATTAAAACCTAGTAACAGGTCTATTCTGCGCTGGTAATAAACATTAGGAGCGTTACTTATCTCCCAGAAATAGTCAGACATAGTCCGAAGTAGTCAGATTTAGTCCAAAAAGCGTTCCTTAACTCGGAAATGACAGCAAAAATGAGAGAGCAACAGTCAGTGAGAGTGACTCTCATCAGTCCGAAGTAGTCAGATTTAGTCAGAAGAATTTTTTCTGGCAAAATCCTGAAAAGTGTCAAACTCAACTGAATTTAAATTAACGGAAATTAAAGAATACGCTAAAAGTGAGAATAATCTAAAAAGTAAAAGAAGTGAATTGAAATTGGAAGGAGGCAAAAAATAATCGATATAGCAAGTGTTTATTGTGCTTGTGCTTGTGTGAATGTGTTTTGTACATACATTTCTGTTCTTATTTGACGTTAGTTTTGTTGTTGCCATTCTTTGGACTAAAAATTTGGTTTTTTGCGTTCCTTTACTTTTCCTGTTACTCTCTTTTAGTGAGCGCATTTTGCTTACGCTCTGGCATTTTGACACTTTTCAGATTTTAGTCCAAAAAGATAAGGAATGAACCTATTTTGTAACCGGTAAATAAAGTTCCTGTCAATTTTTAAACCCATTTCGCATTCTGTGTACTCTTGTAACCGGTAAATTTTGTTACTATCTCATAAGCTGGTAACAAAGTATTGCCCCGTGAAATATGCAATGTCAGAATTTCCACAATTCTTCATAGCTGAATTGCTGAATATTTTAACTGCCTTACCAACGTACTTAGAATCGCGGTGATAAGAACTGGTAACATTTTTTCGTAATAAAATTTCCCGGCAAAATCGTTCTTACGTTTCGATATGGCTTAGTAACTTAACCTCACTTGTTCGGCAGTTCTATTACGGTCACGCATTTTAAAGTAGTAGAAAAGGTACTAATTATATATTACGTTTAATCCGTTTGTGCATACTATTTCAAAATAAATGTAGAAAACCATATAATTACAGACTTATAAGCCTGAATATATGTTAGTATCGGCAGCTCCACACGGCTTGGTCATATATTAGAGCTTATAAAAAAGTAAAAAAATAAGGCAAGTTATTATAAGAATGTAAATGATTTTTTAAAATAGATTAAAACACATACATAAATATCACAAAAATATATCAGTAGTCCATTAGGCTCAATATTATGACAATGCAGCAAAAGTTATTTAATATAAAAAATCGGTTGTTTGATTACCAATAAAAATTCGAAAAAATATTCAAAATCAAGTTTTTGGGCGTGTGTGAATCGGTAGCAAAGTTCTATGGGGAAAGCTGTTGAATAATATTTTTACTATGGTGAGACAGTTTTGCCAATCTGCTGTGTGAAATGAAATCTTTTTTGACAGCAGTAAATTTTTCATAACCGCAGATTTATGCGCAATAAACTATTACAAATTGAGTGAAATTAATATTTTAAGAAAACATCTACCATCATTGATTGCAGTTCATCAACTTAAGCTTTTATTTTACGAAAAATTACACACAGCAACAATCTTTGCAATTGTCAAAATTTTCTATGCATTTGTCAAAAATTTCACTAGCCCTATGGGCTACTGAAATTTTATTCACCTCAAACTTGTCAAAAATTTACTTGCCGCGAACTTTGTTACCGATTCACACACGCTCTTTGTGTTTCAATTTGTTTTGTGCGAATGTCTGCTTCACGATATTAACGCATACGGATAACTTACAGACTTCAAAATGTTTAGTTCGTATGCACTATTTATCTCTTCGTACGATGAGACCTCATGGGAAATAACTAATTACCACCTGGGCCTCTTTTTAGGCGGGCAGACATGCATAAAATTTTGATACTTTTTGATAATTTTTAATTTTTAATAATTTTCTGAATATAAATTTTTTGACGTTGGCGTGTCAAATGAAAGCTTTTGGGTCTTTCTGATTGGCCGGCGCAGAAAGCTTTCTGATACAACTCTGCGCGACTTAAATGATTTCACATTTTTCCAACAACAATTGCATGCGATTTAACTTGTTTATGAACATGTTTTGTTCATTTAACTGGTTCAAGCCCATTTAACATGTTTAGCTCGTCAATTTGAACGTAGTATTAGGCTCAATTGCTTTTGATCATGTCAAAATCCATCAATCAATCTCTCAAAAATAAATTCTATATTTCAGGTACATATGTACTGCAAAAACTAAAATAAAAATACTCTTCACTTATTCAAAGTGTCAAAGTATTTACATCTTTTTCATTGCTAAAGTCTCTAATTTTACTCGCTTAATTTCCAAGGGCCTGTTTTTCAATGTTTGGTTATCACTACCCCCCAGTTAAACATCATTATCGACGTTTTTGACAACATGCATGTAACATGTGATCAATAAAGTAGTCGTCGTATTTAACCGGAGCTTCTAATAAAACAAAACTGGCAGAGCAGGCGAACTTCGTCCCGCCCAAAATCTATTTTTTTTTTATTGAAACATTTTAGTCCAAGATTTTCAGCAACAATTGACGGTTACGATCTTATGCCCATATGACCACAAATGATATAGACGTCTATAACGGTAACCGATTTACCAATTTAACCAAACTCGGTGCACTTAATAGCCTTGGCACGGAAAAGCAATTCGTTGAAAATTATTCAAATCGGACTAAAGTTACACCCGCTTCCCGTATAACGGTAAATTTCAGAAATACCAAATTTCCGATATTTCAATAGCTCAGGACCCTAATTATTCCAAATTAATAGTTACAACAATCTCTTAACAATAAATAAGACTGTTATGGAATTTTACGAATTGGGCGTGGTAGCGCTCACTTTGGGAATACAAAGGTGTATCCCGGAATCTCGATTTCTACCAAACTTGGTTCAATTATTTCATTAAGTCTAACTCAGCATATTATCAAAAACGTTTGAAATCGGGAAAAACACCACTGCTTATCATGCAAAGACAATTTAGAGAAAGTGGAAATGTCGATATTGGTACCTGCGACGGATTTAGTATAAAGTTCGGTTTCGCCGGAACTTATACTTCTTGGCCTGTTTATTTCAGGGATCGTAAATAACAGTTACTTTTCAACGGTTAAACTTAACCAGATGTTTAAGTAAGTATTTACTTATTTGTTTCAAGATGGAAAATTTTGTTACCAATCACATGATCTATCTAAATATGCACATACAGTTGTTTAAATAACAAGAAAAGTTTCTTCTTGACTTATATAAATAAAATTATCGAATTACTTCGTAAACTTTTTGCTTCGTGGCTGTTTTTTCAGGTGTTAACTACATATTCAGTTGTCACATTTATGGATGAAAAAACAGTATATAGNATAACAGTTACTTTTCAACGGTTAAACTTAACCAGATGTTTAAGTAAGTATTTACTTATTTGTTTCAAGATGGAAAATTTTGTTACCAATCACATGATCTATCTAAATATGCACATACAGTTGTTTAAATAACAAGAAAAGTTTCTTCTTGACTTATATAAATAAAATTATCAAATTACTTAGTAAACTTTTTGCTTCGTGGCTGTTTTTTCAGGTGTTAACTACAACAAGCATATTCAGTTTGTCACATTTATGGATGAAAAAACAGTATATAAGGGCGCAAAAACTCAAGTAAGGCACAGTTGAAAGTTTCGCACTGAGCATTCCTTACGACAAATATCAAAATCGCCAACAAATTCGTCTGCACTTTATTGCTTNGCACAGTTGAAAGTTTCGCACTGAGCATTCCTTACGACAAATATCAAAATGGCCAACAAATTCGTCTGCACTTTATTGCTGTTGATCGCGGCTACAGGCGCCCAAGCTGATGGAATTTAGGTGGTACAGCTTCCTCTATTAGCGCTCACCCGTACCTGGTAAGCTTGCAGCTAGCCGATGGAACCATTGTCTGCGGTGGTGCTTTAATTAATTCCAAAACCGTTTACACTGCCGCCTCCTGTGTGACTGACTACGATGTTAGCGCATTTGCCGTTGGTGTCAACAATGGTGCTCAGACAGTTAAAATCGAGTCATATATTTTTGATGANCGTTTACACTGCCGCCTCCTGTGTGACTGACTACGATGTTAACGCATTTGTCGTTGGTGTCAACAATGGTGCTCAGACAGTTAAAATCGAGTCATATATTTTTGATGGCAATGCCATCGGTATCTTGAAGTTGGCCGAAGCCGTAACTGTTAGCACCTACCTTGGATTGGCAAACAGCTTACCTTCAAGTGGTGTACTCATCAGTTGGGATGCAAACAATTCAGTGGCAGAATTATATGAAACTATCACCAGCGCCACGAAATGCGTTACTCAAGGCTACAAATACGAAGACGGTGATCTTTCCAATTCCGAGTTCTGCGGTTTGGCTGTGAACGAAGCTTGTGATGAATTGCCTGGAAGTCCTTTGGTGGCTGACAATAACTTAGTTGGTGTTGTATCCTGGGGTTATGGATGTGCCAACAAAGACAGCCCAGCTATTTACTCGAAAGTCGAAAGTGTTTTGTAAAAGGTACTTATATAATAAATTATAACAATTTCAGCATACTTTTAAATATCGTTTTTAATTATCGCAAACTTTGAAAGATATGATAGGTTGCAAAACTAGAAATAGAAAATTCAGTGCAGGGCCTTTTCTGAAATACTGTTGGAAAAGGTGTCAACTTTCCTTGTAAAGGGGATTTTGTTTTGGAATCACATGCCTACCAAATTTTAATGCCATATTTCGCTAGATATGGGAATATCGATTATATAGATTTTGGTTGAGAAAATTCCAAATATCACGAATTGACGCTGCTTTGTCGAAATTTCGACGATGTTCATTAGTACGACTGCCGTCAAAACGAATATGTCGCGCTAATGCAACGAAACGATGCTAAGACATGGCAGCTCTAAATTTAGGTTTATTATCCGAACGCCACAAAATATCTGCTATTTGTAATTGTTATGTGTAACACCAGTTGCAAAATGAATCCCCAATCGTTTCTTTTATGATAATGCATGATACATGTGATAATCATGATACAAAAAGAAGGTAGTTTCATTTCAAAATTTTTGACAAAAAATAAGTTTTTGAAGTTTCATAAATTGTACAAATTATGAGCTACCTTGCCGCATTGATATCAATGAAACAATACATCAGAGGGTTT